TAAAACTTAGGATTAATTATGACAAAACACTGATATAATGAACTATGCTTTTTACATATTAAGCTTTTAGAAATTGCTGAAATTATTTAAAAGCGAAAAAAAAAATTCCATCAACTTTCAATAACAATTAGCAAAATTAAGAAATATGTAAATTTAGCAATTAGTAGACTAAATTATTAAGAAACTGACTTTTATTATCACCAAAAAAAAAAAAGAAGCAACCATTTAGTCACTTTCATTTCTTTCTTGCTACTATTGCAAGCTTCCTTTCTCACTTTTTTTTTACGATTAAATTCTAAGTTTAAAAAAAAAGTGAGAAAAATTGTGAAATAGTCAAACTCTTTTGGATTTTGTAAAATTTCATTTTAAATTTTTCCTTAAATTTCTAAAATTTTAATTAAATTAAAGTGAATTAAAAAATTTTTTTATTACCTAATATATCATTAAGAAAAAGGCATGGAACAGCCGCGTTATTTTGAATTACTCTACTATTCATATTTATGGTTTCGACGTGCTCGGTAATTTTTTTTCTTTTCTTATTAATTAAATTAATTAATATTGAAATGAAACTGCAATATATTTGGAAAAAAGCGACATTTTTTAAGCTGTAAAATTTTTAGAAAAAAATTTTGGATAAACTAAGCCAGATTTTAGAAACTGACGAACTTTGAATTTATCTAGTAAAAGTTTAATTCACATTTCACCAGTATATTTACTATTTAAAAAGAACTCTGGAAATGCAAGTAGATAATTTTCTACAATACTTTTTATTTCCTTATTTTCAATGATTTCCCAAAAACTTATGAATATTTCCATAGAAATTTTGACAATATTATTACTTTAATAAGTTTATTTAATCACTTTTTTACGTGATAGAAATAAAATGTAAAAATTAATAGAAAGATCGTGAAAAACGTTAGAGTATGTAATCACTTAATCTTAATTATTGTCATTTCTTTCTCTCTTTTGTTTTTTTTTTTCTTAAATAAAACTAGTCAACATGGTTCTCAAATATTATCTAAATCAAAAAACAACGAAATCTTTTTAATCACAAAATATTTTTTTAGATATTAAAATGTATACACTTAGGATATATCATCTTTCAGGATTTCTTTACTTTCCTAATAGTATTACTAAAGATATGATAAATGCAAATGATATATTCCAGAATTTTGTTAAAAATTTAAGCATTAGTTTATTAGTTTAAAAAACCTAATTTTATTACTCTTTAGTTTATAAAGTAATCATAAAATATTCATAAAATTAAGAATATTCACACTTTTATATATTTTCGATTTTTTTTTTACAATATGCAAAGCAAAATAAAGCCTGCAAATTCATATTTAATTTTTGAACAAAAGATTAAATGAGTGAATGAAAAGGAAAAAAAAATTCTTTCAGTGATTTATGTAAGTTATATTCAATTTATACTTTCGGGTATTTTTTTCTTCTTTTTTTGTTTTTTTTTCATCCAGCTAAGGCAAAAATTCTTCACGTTATCCTCGCTTTTTCTAAATTCAATAATTTACTTATAGGACATTCAAAATTTCATTTATCAAAAAAAAGAAAAAAAAAAATGAAAACATAAGCGCAAACGTAAACAACTTTGTCGATTATGGATATTTTTCATTTTTTAAGCCAAAATTACTTCCGCTTTATGTTTGATATATAACTAGCCATTGCATTTCCTCCCATTTAAGTTAAAAAAAAAAAGAAAAATGAAACGAATAATGAATAATCCCAAACTTTTTTCATATTAACCAAAATTAAGAATAAAAAAACTTAAGGTCAAAATTTTGTGATTCAAAAAGAATAATGTAAAAAAAAAGGAAAAAAAAAACTAAAAAACTAAAAAAGGAAAAAATAATAATTTGTTTTTATCCTTACATTAGTGTTATAATTAAGAATTATTCGATATTATGATAGCAAATATTACATGAATTGTGCTGCTGATATAATCTTAAAATTATTTTATCGAAAAAAAAGAAAAGAAAAACGATGAATGTTATTTTATTTTTAAAATAAAAGTGATTGATTGTTATCAGTTATCATTATCATTGGTACATAAAATTAGCATTGTAATATCATTTCAATTATTTTTGATTTTTTTATTACAGCAAAAAAGTACTTTTATTACATATTCCACAAAATCATTGAATAAAGTTAAAATTGGAAAAAAAAAAAAGAAAAACAAATAATTAAACCAGAAGTAAAAATTAGGGATTGCAAAGAAAAAAATTAATTAAATAACAAATGTGAATTAATCATTTAAAAAACAAATCATATATATATAAATAATTTTTTTAAAAAAAATATTTGTAAAATTATTAAAATAAAATTATAATGTTGTCATCAATTTTTATTTTTTGCTATGATACAAAAAAAGAAAGAAAAAAAAAACAATGATAGCATTTCCAGCAAACATTTGATAATTTACAATAAACCGATAGCCTAAATTAAATTAAACTAAATTTACTCACTTTTCACATTCCAAGAAATTACAAGCAACAGCTTTTTGCTTATCCCATTGAGATATCATTCAGTTGAAAAAAAAGACATTGCATAGAATCTGCTCTAATAAATTGCTTTTATCATCATATTATGTTATCTACTAATAAACTAAAGCCAAATAAAGTAAACAAATAAATAAAAAAAAATGAACGAATGAAAGAAAAAAAAGCGACAGATGAAAAACTTAAAAAAAAAATGTATCGTTGATTAAAAAAAATTATTGTTTTCATTATTTAAATTCAAATTTCACTTCATTTTATTTCATATTTAATTTTAACCTATATTTAATATTATTATTTTTATTTACGACAATAAATTTTTCTCATAAAATTCTCATTGCAAAATTTATTCATTTTTTTTTTCAATAATAATAATAATTTAATTTTTCGTAGCATAGAAAATAAAGCTTTTCATTTAATCATATATTAGTATATATTATGGAGATTTAGTTCTTTTCTCTCTCTCCCTCTCTGCCTCTGTCACTCTGTCTCATCTTACTTTCAAGTCAATTGGTTAATAAATTATTTTGAAACTTTAATTTTTTTTACATTTCTCATAAGCTTATCATCATTTTTCGCATTGAAAATGATGCACATACACATCATTATGTATTAATTTTGTTAGATTTGACGACACTTCTCAACTGCTATTTTAGTTTATACAGAGGGGTTAAGTTAGCCCAGCCCAGCAGTTAAGCTTCAACTTTAGCAGTATCTTAGTTTAAGGCCAAGCTTTGCCTTTATCATAGTGCAGACTAGTGTGTCCTATACATACAAATATAAACATAATGTACACAACACACACACACACATACACACACACACACACACACACACACACACACACACATACACACACACACACACACACACACACACACACACACACACACACACACACACACACACACACACACACATATACATATACATACATACATGTACTAACCTCACATTCTATCAAACTTGGCCTTTCATATTCTTCTATTTCATTTCATTTTTTTTCTTTTGTTCTCTAGTTAAGTCAACTTCTTCAAACTATGATTATGATTCAATCCATTTAGATTCATTTTTATTATTATTTAAATTGGATATTAGTCAATTCAATGCTTCTATTTTCATCAATTTTTTTTGTCAATTTATTGTTAAGTTTGAAATATTTAAATTAATTTAAAAATGGAATCAATATCTTATACTTCCATATATGTCTTATATGGCTCGTAGCATTATTATCATCATTAAAATTAAAAAGTTAATTTCAAGATGAAAAAATTCAATAGCTAGGTTTAATTTAGTGGAATATGTTTTAAATACAGTGCTGAACACTTTTATTAACTTGAAAAAATTATGCATTGTTACTATTATTACTATCAATATTATTATTATTACTGTTATTCATTATTACCATTATTATTATCAATTACTATTAATATTATTACTATTATTACCCAGAAAGTGGGCAGAACGAAAAAGGATGAGCTTCAGATAATTCAATATTATCGCAAGCAATATTTATTCAATAGCATTGCAAAAAATAATCATAATATCTCTTTTCAAATTTGGAAAATAAGAAATTAAAAAGAACAAGAAAGGAATCATAGCTTAGTTTAGAATCTCAGATATGAATTATTTGTTTATTTTTTTTCTTTATTCGTTATATTCACCCACTCCTTTTTCTTAGCTTTTCTCATTTTTTTTACCAATATTTTTGTTTGACATATTATTTCTGCACTTTTATCATTATTATTATTGATCATTATTGCTATTATTATTTCACTATCATGACCACTATTAATTAAATGTTATTATCTTTATCATTATTATTATTGCATGTTGTTATTATCAATTACGGTCATTACTTTTTTTTTTTTAATTCCTGTTATTACTTTTTTTACAATACCATTTGATACTTTATTTTATATTATTTCATAGTAAAACTTATTCATAAATGTTTGATCATATTTCTTCACTTTTTTCCTTCCTTCCTTCCCTTCCTTGGTTGTTTTGCAAAATTTGTTTTTTTAATTTATTTGTTTTACTTCGTTCTTTTCTAAAACTTAAACATTTATAACAATCTATGGAAATTAAAAAATAAGAAGCTATGAATTTAATTTATATCTAATTTAACTTCTTATATGAATTTATGCTAAATCAATTATTTTATTTTCACATAATTGTTTAGTTTATCCTTTTATTTTGTTTTGTTTTGTCTTTTTTTTTTTTGACAAATTCATGCATGCTTTCTTTCTTGCCTTTTAAATTTTGTGTCACGAACATGTTTATTAGTTTGCCGTTGTTTTTCGTTTTTGTTTTTTGTTTTTTTTCTTTTGTTATATTTTCGTTAATTTGAAACAATTTAAAAAATAGGAAGAAGTGGTGCTTTTTTGTAGATTTCCAGAGAAAAAATCGATAAATTTTTATTGCGGTGAATTTTTAATTTATTAGAAAGTAAACAATCAGCAAAAAGCAAATCTAACAACAAAATCGATGATGACACTTGGCATTGATGAAATTGCTAGGTTGGCAGCGGAAGAAGCGAAGAAAGAACAAAATCAAACAGACGATGGATTTGGTCTTGGAACTGGACGAAGAACACAGCTTAATTCATCAAAAGAAAAAGTTAGTTTAAAATAAAAGACAAAATAAAAAGAAAAATCATTCATTTATAAATTATTAATTTTAAATTTTATATGAAAGAAGAAAATGAAAAAAAAGGATGAGAGGGAAAAGGCGTGAAATACTCAAGATAATTAATTGATTGTATATGCTAATAAGTAATTATTTCGATCTTGTAAAAGTGGTAATAATAATCATAATAATGACAATTGGCATATTTCAATGAATAAGTGAGCATTTTTAATTCACATTTAATAATTTTAGTAAGCAATATTATATAATCAATGAACTTTCTAACACTTGTTTTTCACTCTTTTCTAATAAGCACTAGTAATTTCTATTATTTTTTTCCTGAAAAAAAGAAAGTGGTATTATTATTTTAAATATTATATATAGCGTTTATGCAAATTAATAGTGTGAAAAGAATCAAAAATACACTATCATATATCAAAAATTTTAATTTTTAAAGGTTTTTTTTCTTTCCTTTGCTTTCCACTTCTTTTTTTTTTCATTAACCTGCAGTGCTAATAATTGATGAAATAAAAAAACAACTTTAAAATATTATGTAAACTTCAAAGCAAACGACAAAATTTATAATATAAACATAATTACATAAGAAATGCATGAATATATGTGTAACAAGCAAAAATTAAAAAATAAAATTGACGTAAATGAATGGAATAAACAAATTCATTTTCAGAAGTCTCTTTTTTCAGATAAAAATATTCTCATTTTTGGTAATTTTATTGGAAGGAAAAGGTGTAGTTAACATCATTTCGTTTTATATTAATTGATGTTTGAATTTTTTAATTTATTGCAGATTTTTTTGCACATTTCATTTTTTTCTACTGAAATTAGTAATTGTTTTTCTTTCACTTTTTTCAATTAATTGCTAAAACTTAAATTCGTCATTAAAATTAGCTGATGATAAATGAAATATTGAAAAATGAGATAATAAATGTTAATTACTGAACTAATTTATTAGAATATTAAAATTTATTTGCAATAATTTTAGTTTCATTCTTTAAGAACTACATTTGAACAATTTTTTTTATGCTTTCCTTTTATTTTTACATGCATATATAACAAATTTCAATCAGTCATTGAGGGTTAAAACCAATAGTTATATTTTATTAAGATAACTATGAGAGAATAAAATAATGATTCGAAATCGCTGTTGTTTGAAAAACGAGAATCTTTAAATTTCATTTAAATTTTGAGTAATGGAAGAATTGGAATTGTTTACCACTAGTTTAGTCGAATATCACTTATTTAAATCTTTATTTGATTTAATTAGATTCAGATGTTTAATCAAAGGAACGGTTTCGCACAATCTTTTCATTTTGCAAATTTATGACATTATTAATTTTCGTACTATAAATATTTTATGATATTTATCCATAATGGTTGAATATTTTAAAAAATTAAAAAAAATTTGCTCATGAAAGTTGAATTTAATTTGAAAAAAAAAGCAAGAAAGCCAAGGCTTTATCTGGCTTTAAATTATCAGATTAATAGAACAGACTTAGTTAATTTATTAGTAAATAAAAATCTGATATGATTTTAGCTTGCTAATATTTAAAAAAAAGAAAGAAAGAGAGAAATGATTTCTTTTAAATCAATAAAAAGGAAACAGTTTAGCATTTTTTTTAATCAGTAATTTTTAGCAGCAAAAATTAAAATAGCTTAATAAGATTACAAATAGCACTAGGAAGTCTAAAAAATGATAAAATTTTATCTATTTCTATTAGCTAGATGCTTAATTATAATTATTGATAGCATTTAGGGCCCAACATCGTTGTTCATATTCAGCGAGGATAATATCATTCGACGAAATGCTCGAGCTATCATTGAATGGGGACCCTTCGAATATTTCATCCTTCTTACTATCATCGGAAATTGTGTGGTACTTGCGCTCGAGCAACATCTTCCAAAAAATGATAAAATGCCACTTGCTGAAATGTTGGTTAGTAGTAAAATTTATTATATTTATTTTTTCAATTGTTCAATCCCAAAAAATTTTATAAAAATTGTAAGAAAAAAGATTTTTATAAAAGAAAAAATTCTTGATTTATAAAAATTTATGCTTTTCAAAAAATAAAAAAAAAATTGTAAATTTTTTGATATTTATATTTTTAAATGATTAATCTAAAGAAAGTCGTTAAAATTCAATATAGATTTATGGTTTTAAAATCAAGAGAAAAAATTTTTTTAATTGATTAATTTTAAAAAATTTTATAAAAATTGTAAAAAAATTTATGAAAAAATCTCAATTCATAAAAATTATATTTTCCAAAAAAAAGTTTGTAAGATTTTTGATATTTATACAATTGCAGAAAAAAATCATAAAATTTTTAATATTTATATTTTTAAATAATTAATTCTAAGAAAGTTTGCTGAAATTTTGTAGAAATTTATACTTTTAAAATCAAAAAAAAAATTTTTGCAAAAAACAAACCTTACAAAATAAAAAAGAAAAAATTGCAATATATATATATATATATATATATATATATATATATATATATATATATATATATATATATATATATATATAATTAATCTTAGGAAATTCCAAAGTTTTCTAATCTCTATTTCTGAAGAATTAATTCTAAAAAAATATGATATATTGATAAATTATATAAAAATTCTAACGTTTAAGTATATCTTATTGATTGGTTTCTTTCTATTTTTGTATTTTCAATTAAACTATTATTGATTGTTAAACTTTTTAAAATTATTATAAAGACTTTGGACTTTTACCTTTTAACCTCTCAAAAAGGAAAAACACATTAAAAACAAATTATTGATTAAAAAAAAAAGAAAGCGAGATATAATCTTTCATACTTTTAAGATTATTTGATGATAAAGAAAGTGAGCTATCACTAAAAATATGAATTTTTTGGTTTAACAAATAATTTTCTTTAATACAAAATATCAAAAAAGAAAAATCAATTCTTTTGGATTTTTCGTTTTTTTCCATTTCATAAATGAATGTTTAATGAAAAGAAAAATTAAGATTAAATTAAAAAGAAGAGAAAAAAAAGAACATTTTCTAATAGTTATGCTATATGAAAATTCTATCAAATTAATAAGTAAATAACTTTATTCCGAGCAATTTTCTCATCTTCCTTAATTATTAATCAATAATCATTTAATTATTTCATTTCTCTTTCTCTTTCCCCGCGTTCTCGTTGCAACAAATAATGTAATGGAAAATACACACTACTGTTTTTCCTATTAAATTTTTTTTTTTTCATTAATATCTGTTAATTTATAATTAACAAGAGAATGAAATAAAATAAAATAATTTAATTCATAATTGTATATTTGTTAAATATAAATAAATAAATGAAAAAAACAAAAACAATGCAAGAAGGAATACCGTGACTATTTATTATTTTGATTATCAATGAAACAAATAATTGAAGAAAAGAATGGTAGAAATATTTGTAAAATGAAGTAAACAACTTTTGTTTTCCTTTTTTCTTTTCTCATTTTTTTAGAACAAAAATGAGAAAGGAAAATTTTGAATGATCTGAATTTTTGAAATATTGAGAATTATATAATGGTATACAACTTTGTCTCTGTTTTTCATCTTTTTTATGAGAGATCAGTAGATTTTTATAAATAACGTATAAAAAGAAAAAATTGCTGATATAAATTTATATATACTAGCGCTGATATAAATATATATACAATACGATAGTACTAAAGTTTACCGAGATTTTTTAAAAAATTCGTCTAGAAAAACAAATTACGTTTATGTTGTGCAATTTAATTTAATCAAATTAATTTCTTAAAAATACGTATTGCTTATGCATTTAAATGCAATTAATCGAATAATCAAAATTTCATAGGAATAATAGAATACTTTAAAAGGATTGCGAGAAATTTTTTTTCTGATTTTTTTCACTTAGATCGATGTATATCTCATCATTTCGTTTGTATTTAATCTTTTTTTCAATTTGATTTTATTTTTTGTGAAAAAATTTGAAAATTCACTCATATTATTATCACTTTTTTTCGTTTATTTCATCGAAATATGACAATTTTTGAAGTTTTTTGCCAAATTTTTGAAATGGGATGCTTATTTAGTTATGAAACGGAAAAATTGGGAAAGAATTTTGTTATTATTTTTTAATTTTCTTTTTTTTTGTAAATTTCAGATAAATTCTTTGAAATTTTCACTTCTCATTTTACTTTCAAAATGCATCTTTTACGTGTTAAGTATGAATTGTGAAATTTTTGGACGTTTCAGTTTAACTGCATCATATATATATATATATATATATATATATATATATATTCGTAAAATCGAAAAAAAAAAAAAGAAAATTCGAATTTTCATTTTCTCGGGAATCTCTTGGGAAAATGGTCATGACTTCACGGGTAAGAAATGAAAGATTTGAGGATTTGATGACGAAAGAGAAAAGTTTGTTCAAAATAAACATCAGTGTGCATTAGAAATTATAACCATATCCGATTCATTAGTGTATAACTTGAAAGAAGAGAGAGAGAGGGAGAGAGAGAGAAAAAAGGAGAAAGGGGAAAAGAGAGAGAAAAAGATTCCCACAGAATTTATCGATTTAGTGCATATTTTGAAAATACTTGAAAATATGTAAAATGAATAATTATTTGTAAACGAAGATGTTGCATGAAATAAGTTGAATAGCTGATAAACTGATCATTTTATGACCAATTTACTTCTTTCCACGTAATACGTCATTTACAGGTAAATTATAGTAATATTTTTTCTTTTCGGAAATTTCTTTTTTCTTACTGAGAAATTCGAAACAAACAAATGCAAAAGGTAGTAAAAGATTAGTGAAAGAAGGGAATGAAAAATGTCAAAAATATTAATTTCATTAAAATTTTTATTTACGTTAATGAATTATTTCAATTTATAATTTAGTATAAAGCACAAATTGTAATATTAAGTTTGAAATGAATGTTAATTTTATTTTTATTAATTATTTTTTTTATCGTCATTTTATTGGTTTATTTACAAAATATCATTTCATCAGTTGAACAAAGAGAAGAAAACATAGCAAAAAGTCAGTGTTCAGAAAGAAATAAAAAAGTAAAATTTCGGTTCGATCAGTAATTTAGGCTCATTTTTTTAAAGGTTATTCAGTAAAGCTATCTATTAAATGAATTTTACATCTGTCTAAATAGAATGTTTAAGTTGATATTACTATTTATGATGATTGCATGAAGTAGTAAAACAGAAATAAGAATAATCAAGCTAAGGAAATTTAATATTTAAAACTATGCTAATCTATAAATTATTCAAGAGATTTGCTTTGAAAGAAAAGAGAATGGTAAGGAAAAAGAGTGGGAAGAAAAAAAGCTAAAAAATAAGCGATAAACATAGTTAATTACTTATAGATGCAATACAGCAATATTATATAATAATCTATAATAAATTAATAATGTGTTTGACTAGAAAAATAATAAAAAAAAAAATTCTAAAAAAATTGAAAGTCGAAAGTTTATAAATGAAATCAAATTTGAGGCAAATTATTTGATCATTACTTTCTTTATTGTAGCAGAATAAATGTAAAAGGCTCATGAAATTTTTTAAAATAAAAGTTCATATTTTTTTCGGAAGAAGAGAAAAAAGCGTTTTAAATTATAGAACTAGAATTTGAATACAAAAAAATTCGAAAGTTATTCAGATTATTTGATTATAATTGTAATTGTGATTTGTAATTTTGCTTAATTCTCTATAAATTAAGGATTAAAGTTTTTTTGCTACACAAAAATTGATAAAAAACAAAGTTGATAGTGCTAATATAGAAAATAAAATTGCAGAAGGAAAGGAAGGAATAAGAAAGAGGGGGAAAGAAAAGGTAAAGGGGTGGAAGAAAGAAAAGAAGCAATGAGAATAATACTGAAGAAAAAAATCGTTAAAATTTTTCTCGGTCAAATTTTAATTTTATAATTTAAGCTTTAATTTTAAAGTATTTGCTCGCTGTAGAAAATGAACTGACTGTTTCGATGAATGTATTAAAATAGAAATTAAACCAAAAGCTGAAATTCATTTTATTTTGATACACCCATTTAAATTTTAATATGTTGAAGAAAAGTTTTTAATTCTAAGTAAATTTGTTAATCCAGTTCAAAAACTATGCTGTGGACTACAAAATTCATAAATAAGAGTTAACTCATATTCTCAAATTCAACAAAAATGGAAAAAAAAAAAAAGAAAACTGCGAAAATCATTCAATGAACACTGCTAAACTCGCATTAAATTATATTTCATTTGATCAATTTGCTAATTAGTCTATAAAATTATACCGTTATGGCATAAGTGATGAAATGACCATAATAAAAATCATTTGACGATCATTTTAATCTAACTTTACATTAATTAATTCTATTTATAGCATTTATTATACAATTCGTTCAGTTTTTTTTTTCAATAAAAATACATACTTTATTTGAATTTCACGAAATATATTCTCCCCATAGATTGCTATTTAATTTTATTTGTTTTATTCAAATTTTGTGTGCATTTTCATACATTTTTTTCAACAAATTATCAAAGTTTTATCTATTTCAATAAACTATTTAAAGTTTCGTTTTTCCTACAGTTTTTATTTTCATTGTTTTTTTGCAATTTTTTGATTTTTTTTTTTTTTATAATTCTTTAAAAATTTTTTTTTTTGTCGCTAATTTGATAGTGATAGGAATGAAAACGACGAAAGAAGAAGAAAAGAAAATTTTGATTTCTTATATCTTGGAAATGGAGACAGAAAAAAGTTTGCAACAGATTTTTATGATTGATTATTTTTAAATTAATAATTTTTAACATAAATAATTGGAATAGTTCTTTCCATTTCAAATAACATCAAAATTGTATTGTAGAAAGTTGTAAAATGCAATAGGAAAAAATATATTTATTTGAAATGCGGCACTTTTTTCGGTTTAAAATTAAATTCGTTTGGATGGATAAATGGTGAGCTGGATAAGAAATGAAAATTCTATTTTTTTTTTTTTCATTAAAATAATTTTTTTCCTCATAACATATTATCAGGTGAGGTGAGAAACGAAATTCTATTAGATGGGCTGAAAATTTTTTTTTTTCTTTTGAAAAATGAAGAGTATTTTTTTTTTTGTTTCATTTTTTTCCTGAATGTAAACGTTAACTTATAAATTAGTAGCAAATATAAACATTAAATGATGAATGTTCAAAAAAAAGACCAATTTTGGAAAGGAATTACAAAATTTTATTTCATTTTCTATCTACAAGTAAATTATTGGATTAAAAAATTTAAAACTTACTGTAGCAGCTAAATGTATTCAGAATGTGATTTATCAACAAATTTTTATTTCAACTGCATATTGCAATTTTATTGATTGTAATTTCAAATTTGTAAAATTTTGATCGTAATTTTAAAAAATTTCTATCACAACTATTCAACTATTATATCGCTTATCAGATGATTATTCAACTTATATTAAGCTTTTTTTTTAAAAAAGAAACTTGATATGATTCCTAGAGAAAACTAATAAAATCAATCAAACTATTATGTCGTATTTATAAAAAAAAATAAAGTAATATATACTCCTAATTATTATCATTTAGATAGCTTTCTTCTATCAGTTCAATTCTTTTTTTATTTTGTAGGAACATACGGAACCATATTTCATGGGCATTTTTTGTTTTGAATTTTTATTAAAAGTAATAGCATTTGGATTTGTCCTTCATAAAGGATCATACCTCCGTTCAGGATGGAATATCATGGATTTTATTGTTGTTGCTTCCGGGTAAGTGCATTGTTAACGTTTATTTTATATCACTTTATTACCTTTAAACTGAATTTATTCACCATTTATATAAACATTTACTACAGTTAAAAAAAAAAATTCTAGAACTAATTTTCCTAAAAAATTAGTATTGTGATAGAAACTGAAAAAGAAGAAAAAGTGATAAAGAAGGAAATCTGATATCATTAATTATTGTTCTAAGAAAATTAGTAATTTTTAGGAAATTAGTAATTTTTCAATTAATATAACACTTATCATTTATATAAGATTACCTTAATAGATATAAAGGTAATTTTAGAGTAGTAACAATGATGCCTTTTACATCATCGGATGGCGAAGGCCGAGGTTCGGTGGATTTAAGGACACTTCGTGCTGTTCGTGTTCTCAGGCCACTGAAACTTGTCTCCGGTATACCAAGTAATCTTTCACATTCTTATTTGTAGCAATTATAAATGATTTAACTCTAATCGAAGTAGTATTATAAAAATAAACATTTTAGCATCTGTAAAAAACAATTATAATATACATTTGCATTCATTTTGCATAATTCAATTTTTTTTTTCTGTATTTTTTACAAATATAATTTTAAAATGACCAGAAATTTTAATCGCTGTAATTTTAACTTGTTAAAATTTTTGATTATAATTTGAAATTTTCGCAGTTTTGACCTATGTGACTTACTTCAAATTCAGTCATAAAACTAGCTTTTGTCGCATTAATAATTATAAATTAAAATGCTTAAATTTTAAGTTTTATTCATTCTTTCTTTTAAAAAAAGTAGTTACTGTTGCATTTTTACAGGTTTACAAGTAGTTTTAAAATCAATACTGTATGCGATGGCGCCATTGTTGCAAATTGGCTTATTAGTCCTATTTGCTATCGTTATATTTGCAATTATTGGATTAGAATTTTATTCCGGTATATTCCATTCCGCATGTTATAATGCACATGGTGAAATTGAAAATCTTAGTGATCGTCCATTTCCATGGTTAATTCTTAAAAAAATTTTTTTAGTTTTTTGATTTTGTTAAATTTAACTTTTTTACTTCATAAACTTCATAAAAAGTCCTTCATAAAAAGATCGAATATATATAGTTAAATAAATGAGCACAAATTTTTTCAAAAAGATCGACTTGATATTTATTAATCAAAGTAAATATTATTTGAAATTGCTTCTTCATAGTTAATACAGGTTAAATTAGTTCTGAAAATATTCAACCCTTTTTTTTTATCTTGAAATTATCATTAAATAATAATAAATTATAGCTCGAATAAATCAGCAGCAACGGGTGCATATAATTGTGAGGTTGAGGGTACAGTATGCCTTACTCAATGGATTGGACCGAATTATGGTATCACTTCATTTGATAATATTGCATTTGCTATGATTACTGTATTCCAGTGTATTACTATGGAGGGATGGACCACTGTAATGTATTATGTTAGTTGTTTGATTTCTTAATTTTATTTTTTAACACTAATTTTGGATGCAATATTTTTTTTTTTTTTTTGAATAGATTTATGAGAGTTAAAATTCTTGTAGACCTAAAAGTAGAAATTCATGACTACTGTTACTGTATTTCGTGTTACTGTATACTTTGAATCCATTTTTGCATTTAACGATTTTATACCAATTTATTGGTATTTTTTTGCATTTAAATCATAAATTTGATATAATAAAATTGTTAATGGGACGGTACTCCACAACAGTTTGACCAATTGACAGGATCAAATTTTTAACTTAATTTTAATACAGTTTTAATTTTATCCCAAATGCAACAAATTCTGTCCGTATGTTGCAAGCAAATTGATGTTGTCCGTATGCTTAAATTTTATGCCAAATTTAGAAAAATAGTAGAAGAAATTTCTGTCATATTGCAATGCATATTTTGATGTTTCTTATTATTAATTTTAAAAAAATGTTAGTACATTTGGAAAAAAAAAAGAATTAAAAAAAATCTTTTACATTTACAAACAAGAATTCAGTTCGATTTTCTCAGATTCCTCATACGATCGATATATAATTTCAAATTACAATGTTATGTTATATAAAGGCGATCATTTTAATAATTTAAAAATTAAGTTTTAACCAAAAAAAAAAACAATTTATTTTCAGACAAATGATTCACTTGGTAGTACCTATAATTGGGCTTATTTTATACCTCTAATTGTTCTTGGTTCTTTTTTTATGCTCAATTTGGTCCTTGGTGTCCTGTCCGGGTAAATTTTCTTTCCAAATATATTATACTAACATATAATTAATCTCCATTCTCGATGAAAAAATATTTAAATCATGTTAATAATGATAATGCTAGCATTTGTTAAAATAAATAAGCTACTTACTATGATAGCACATTAAAACAGACAGTTTTTCTTTCCTGTCTGTCTAACTTTATTTTCGAATATTCAAAAAATAAGTTCCATAGTGCCTTGATGCAAAACTATCGCTAAGTTATTTATGTAACTTCATCATATGGAAAATGTTTTCGCTTGTAATAGAATAATGAGAAATTTTTTTTATTTATTTGAAAATTTTTTCATTTCTGTGTTAATTTCAAAAAATAATATATGGAAATTGCAAAAAATGAAGATCTAAGATTGAAAAATAATTCTATTACATATATGAAACAATTTTTAATGACTTAGTTGTTTCAGGATAGTTTAGTATTCATTATATATATATATATATTTAAGTCATTAGTATTACGTAACATACGTAACCAAAATTTAATTCCTTTCTCTTAATAGTACATATTTTTCGTCACTTTATTTTTCTTTATTTTTTTTTTTATACTTTTTCTTTTAACTTTTTTTTTATTTAATTTCCATGTTAAAATTCTCTCTCTCACAACTTTCAATTTGCATAATTTCGGTATAATCACATTAATGCAATAATTTAAATTTTTACATTTACTGCTGTAAACAACATTATAACATATACAATACTAATTTCTACATTGATTTTAGAAAGAAACGTTTATCTTTCTCATCTATCAATTTTACATTTAATTGTTACGTCTTATTACCTTATGTCATCAAATTACTACGTTACGTCAAGCTAAAGTTAACAGTTTAAAAAATATAAAATATTTTTGACTGTAAGGAATTTGACTAAATGCTACAACATTTTTGGAAAGAAGTGAAATGCACTAAATGGCTATTTTTCTTCTAGAAACTATCAGAGTTTTCTTTTTTAAAAAAAGAAATAAAATCGTAAAATTCAATTGGAACATTTGAATTAGGAAATTCTTTTTTTTAATAATTCAAGTAATGCAATTTAGTTTACATATAGTGACTACCGAATTGCAGTGAATTTGCGAAAGAACGTGAAAGAGTTGAAAATCGTCGAGAATTCCTAAAATTACGTAGACAACAACAAATTGAACGTGAATTAAACGGTTATCTAGAGTGGATTTTAACCGCTGAAGAGGTGATTTTAAAAGAGGAACGAACAACGGAAGAAGAAAAAGCAGCTATTATGGAAGGTTTAATTTATAGGAATAAATTCAAATATATGTATATATAATTAAATTTTGAAAATGAAAAAAAAAAAAAACAAAAGTAAAATATGCCATATGTTATCAGTCAAATATCAACAATAAAAACTTTAGAACTTACACTCATTTCGTATGTATTATTATTTATATATCTTTAATTAATAAAAGTTAACCTAAAAAATTTAATTATATCATTAATAAATGATTTATTAGTGAAAAATATAATTAAAAAGATGTGTTAAAAATGATTTATTTTATTATAGCACGACGACGAACTGCGGCGAAAAAATTGAAGCAAGCAAATAAGCGTCAAAGTACTGAAACAGAAGAGGACATTGAGGAAGAAGATGAAGATGAGGATGATTATCTAAATGAAGAAAGTGAAGGTATTGTTGTATCAATTCGAAATAGATTAAATTTTGCACAAGTTTTATCTATATTTTTGATTTTCTAGCAATTTTGCAAAATGAAAATAATGTCACTTACTATTATGTGCTAATATTTATCCAATAAAATTTCAAAAATTAAGTTTGTCTTATGGGCATATATTTAACCTAACGATAAGTATACAGAAATTTGAAGCAAAAGTAAAAATTGAATGTGATTAAGGTAAAAGAGCAAAACGAACTTTTTGGGGATCAATATGCAAGAAGGTGCGACATATGAGGTTTGAAATTTGATTGCATTAAAATATAAAACTTTTTCAGTAGAATAACTTAGCGTAATTTATGCTTAGATGATAGAGATATAATTTAAACGAGCTGAGATCATGATTAAATCGTTCTCCGGAAATGAGTTTTTGTTAAAACGAAAATTATCTCAAATAATTTGTTTGTAAATACACAATTTAATTGATACAATTACGATAATCGAGAAATTAAACAGGATAAGATATAAAAATGAGAGAAATATTATAGAAAGTTCAAAATTGATTCGAATAAAAAATTTTCCAACCATTTATGTGTAAGAATTTCGAACTAGAATTAAACACTGATAATTTCGATTCCATACTTTTAAATGTAAGTTGAAATTCCAATACAGTAAAGTTTGCTCATATAGGTGAACTAAAAGTCTTCTTAATAAAATGCAATTTTGAAGGGTTCAAATGCGACTTATTGTAAAAAGTCAGGTGTTTTATTGGCTTGTTATAACATTAGTCTTTCTCAATACTGCCTGCGTTGCTTCAGAGCATTACGGTCAACCGGAATGGTTTACGGAATTTCTAAGTATGTCTATTGATGATCTAACATTTTACTACCTTATAATTTTATAAGTTTGAAAAATTCAATTTTGATTCCCTTACGCTATTTTAAGATATGATAGCTAACAGCATTAAAGTGCTCAAAAATATTATTAAGAAATTTAGAGGAAAAAGCTACTTTTATAATCAAATATTTCTCTTTTTTTTTAAATAAAACGGTTGAAATTGAAATTAATTTTAACTTGACTTATTTTTTCTGACTTATTATTTTTTGCAATATTTATCAAAACTTAAAATAAACTGTCTAATTTAAAAAATTATTTGATATTAAAACTTTTCAATTAAAAATAAAAAGAATTTGGCATTAGTAACCAGTAAGTGGAAATGCCTGCTGAAGCTACTGTTTACTTAATTCATTGGCGCAAATATTTTAAATTGTTGCAGAATACGCAGAATATGTATTTTCGGGGATATTTATATGTGAAATGCTAATGAAACTATTTGCAATGGGTCATCGTGTTTATTTTGCATCAAAATTTAATCGTTTCGATTGCATTGTTATTGTTGGCAGTGCTTTTGAAGTAATTTGGGCAGAATTAAAGGGTGGCTCCTTTGGTATTTCCGTACTTCGAGCCTTACGACTACTGCGCATCTTTAAGCTCACTTCGTAAGCACTTTTGTCATATGTATCTTATTTTTCAAAATAGAAAATGTTGTACACTTTTAGTGTACGAAAAAAAAAAAAATGGGAATTTTTTCCATATATTACTATATCCATCAATATACATTAATATTTTAATATGGAAATGTCATGTAGAATAAAACCTTGATTTTTAATCTATTTAGCATACGTAATAATGAGTAAAGTATTAGGTATTACTTATTAATTTATCCAGGTACTGGGTATCATTACGTAACCTTGTACGTTCACTTATGAATTCAATGCGTTCTATCCTCTCACTATTATTCCTTCTATTCTTATTCATTCTTATTTTTGCCTTATTGGGTATGCAACTATTCGGCGGGAAGTAAGTACTTTTTATTAAAAGTTAATTTTATTATGACAAAAAAAAAAATGCCAATAAAAGAATACTGCTGATTATCTTTATAAGTCTACTAGAATATTACTTAATTGAACACCGACTCACATGACCATGGTTTAAGAGATAAGGCACGTAATCTTAGTAAAAAGATAAATCAAGTGACCTGGCCAAAAGATAAAGCACATGATTTTAGTTAAGAGCACGTGGTCTCGATCAAGATATAAACCGTGTGATTCTAGTCAGGAGAAAAATCACGTGACCTCGATCAAAAGATAAAGCACATTATTTTAGTTGATAGGTAAAGGACGTCATCCTGGAATAAACCACGTGGTCTTAGTCAAGAGATAAGTCACGTGATCTTGGCTTTTATTTGCATTTACTACGAAGATATAATACATAAAACATTTTGGGACGATATGAAAATTATCAACATATTGTTAAGTCCCTGAAGTTGTTACTTTTCCAATGTAAAGTAATTACTTTAACCATTTTTTAAAACTGGAAAAAATAAAATTTTTATAAAGAATAACTTGTTATCATCTTTTCTAAATTTCAGATTTAGCTTTCCGTCCGGACATCCCTATACTCATTTTGATACGTTTCCGGTGGCCTTAATCACAGTCTTCCAGGTCTTAATAATACGATTATTTCAATAGAATTTAATATAGAGTTCATTTAACAATTAATCTCTCAATAGTAACATCATATATTTAATTTTTATTTATTTCTTTCAATCAACTAATAGTCAAAAAATTTAATTCTTTTAAATTTATCAAATATTTATGCTTTAACATGCATCATGAATAGTGTGACAACAATTAAAATTACTATCGATGCAAAGATATGAAATTTAAAATATCAGAATTTAACTGAATGATAACATATTCTTCTAAGCAATAAAATATTGATTAATACCAGCTAATAGAAGAAAAACCAAGAAAAATAAAAAAAAAGTTTTATGTCAGCCATATAAAATTTATCTAATTAATTACCTTTCATTCCCTACAAATTTTACTATTTTTTAATTTTAAAACAGTAGCTAACTTTTTTATGCCTGTATTTTTGATGAAATAAATTAATAAATGAGCAAATATGCAAATTCCGGGTAAATAATTAAAGGCATTAAAAAGAAAAATTTCAGATATTAACCGGAGAGGATTGGAATGAAGTAATGTATTTAGCAATTGAATCACAGGGTGGTATATATGGTGGTGGTATGGTATATTGCATATATTTCATTGTGCTCGTACTTTTTGGCAATTGTAAGTGAATAAATTTTCAAATTTAAAATTATGAAATTTTTTAGAATTCTAATAAAAATGAAATTTCTTTGATGATTTCACGAAAAAATGAAAAATTTTGAACTTATTTTATAGACACACTGCTAAATGTTTTCTTGGCTATCGCTGTGGATAATTTAGCAAATGCGCAAGAATTAACAGCAGCTGAGGAAGCGGATGAACGAGCTAACGAGTTGCCGGATGATTCGGAAAGTGTTGATGAACAGGTTTATTATTAAAACATAATTAACATCGATGCTTCATGCAAACTAAACATTCCCATACCATAACTGATAATCTGTAATTATTGACATTTGCGCCTGCATAAGGGTAATAAGCGAAGCATTAAGCAAGATGAAATCAAATGAATAGAAGTCAAATCAATTGGACAAAATGATTACGTAATCTTCAAAGTTTACGTAAGTCAGTGACTAGGGTTTAATATATCTTCTATTTTTATTATTAGTGTTATTAATTCCCTTTCCTATAGTTCCTATAGTACCTATCAATTGCCCTTTGGTTATTTTCTCATAATCACCTCTCTCTCTCTCTCTCTCTTTACGTATATATTGTACATTAAAGTATTTCTAAAACTGTGAAATATCATATTAATTATGAAAATTCTAGGATAGTGAACAATGCGCCATCGATATGGAAGGTAAAGCAGATGGGAATATATTGGAAATGCAACATGAAATAGATGGTAATACTTTCTTTTTTATTTCAATACTAATTATAATGTTACAAATTGAACTATTAATATTTACTTAATTTGTTTTCGAATTTTAAATTTACTTTTTAAATTTTTTTCATTTGTTAACAACAACAATGGTATTAATGTATACCTACCTTATTATAACATTAGAAAATTTTAATTAGACATATATAATATTAATTAATATTTATGTTATAATAAATATTTTTAGAGGAGTATGAAGAAGAAGAGAGTCCCTTTGGTGGTCCACGACCAATTGTACCATTCTCTTCAATGTTTATTTTTTCATCAACAAATCCGTAAATTTTTACATATCATTTCAATTTGAAATTTCAACTTTTTAATTTTTTTTTTTTTTTTTTGAAATTGTCAGTTAATCCTTAGTGTTAAGCAAAAATTCTATAATAATTAATTCTTAATAATTTAATATAGCATTATTTTTAAAAAGTGCTTGCTAATTTCTTCAACTTCTTTGTTATTTTTAAGATTTTGTCTATAATTTTATCAATTAAAATTTATAGATTTCGTGTATTGGTACATTCAGTGGTATCAACGAAATATTTCGAAATGTTAGTAATGGGCGTAATATGCTTTTCCAGTATAGCGCTTTCAGCGGAAGATCCAGTCGATGAGGATGCTCCGAGAAATAAAGTGCTTCAATACATGGATTACTGCTTTACGGGTGTTTTTGCTTTGGAAATGTGCCTTAAAGTAGGATTTCTTTTTTTTAAAACTTTATTTATAACTTCAAATAGAGTTAAACTAACTTCAGTAGGGTCAAAATTTTAATTTTTATTAATAATCTAAGCAATTCGCTTTTTCTTTTTTCTATTATCATATAAAATTTTATGGTATCTTAAGCTTATTTTCTTATGAAGTTTAAAAAATTATGCATTCAATCTAATTGGTCTTATTTATATTAATAATAACACTACTTAATTGATATATTAGTTAATAACAACAAATAACCTTTGTTAACTTATTAAGAATTCAAATATTTTAGTTAATAGACCAAGGAGTATTACTACATCCAGGCTCATATTGTCGTGATTTTTGGAATTTACTTGATGGTATTGTCGTCTTCTGTGCTCTTGTTGCTTTTTCATTTGCGTAAGCTTTTTGTTTATTATAACTGTCAACATTTAGTTGTTTTCTTTTTTTTCTTTTTTTTTTCTTTTTAAAGTTTATATATTTTTGAAACAAAATTCAACTAATAGACCGGGAAGTAATTTCAAAAAAAAAAAAAAGAAAAAGAAAAACAATTTTATTTCTAAGTTAAAATTTCAGTGGAGCTGAGGGTTCAGCTGGCAAAAATTTGAATACTATCAAATCATTAAGAGTATTACGTGTTTTAAGGCCACTTAAAACGATCAAACGAATACCTAAATTAAAGGTTGTAAATATGCTTTTTGAATTTTCAATTTTTAATATTCAAAAAAAGGAAATTATATTTTATATATATGTAAAATTATATTTTTTATATATAAAAAAATTATAAAAAAGAAACTATATTTTTTAAAAAAATATAAAAATTTTATTTACATTCAAAGATATCGAGCGATATGTTTTAATTTAAATGAAAAAGCATACAAATCCAATAATGTTAGTATATCGTTTATACTTAGCGAAATCTATAAAATGACACATATGAAGAAATGAAGAAAGTTCATAATTAAAATACAGGTAAATAAAGAGAGAGAAAAAAAAAAACCTAATATTATCATAAAAATGAAACTATTTCTACATGATGTGAGAAATATTGATTTAATTTACAGGCAGTGTTCGACTGTGTAGTAAATTCGCTTAAAAATGTATTCAATATTCTTATCGTTTACATTTTATTTCAATTTATCTTTGGTGTAATAGCAGTACAACTATTCAAAGGGAAATTTTTCTATTGCACGGATAAAACGAAACGTTTCGCACGTGAATGTCACGGACAGTATTTTGTCTTTGAAAGTCCGGTAAATATTTCGCTTTTAATTTTTTGCTCTTTTTTTTTTTTTTTTATTAATTGCTCATTAATATATGGAAAGGAAAAAAAAAAGATAAAAATTTTATTTTTAAATATTTTTGATGATAACTTCAAATTATGAAATCAGTTATATAAGTAGGATAATATTAAATGGATCGATAATAGTAAATGTTATCAGTGATAAAAATGCATGAAAGAAATAATGTTGCCTAATTTAGTTTGATCAGTTAATAAAAAAAGGAAAGAGAAAGTAATGAATGAATTGAACATGTTATTAGCATGATATGCTTAAGAAATATTTTACTAAAATAAGTGTTTTAAAGGATAAGGAATGTTTTTATTTAAATTCAATAAAAACTCATCGTTTATTATCACCATTACTTAATTACAGTAATAATAATTATTATTAGTTATTAGTTAATGAGTAAGCAATTTTTTCTCTTTTTTATAATTTCAAAAGTAAAATAAAAATGCATCGAATGTTGGTACATTTATTATTTATTTATTTCTTGAAATGATAAGAGAAAAAGAGAAAGAATGTAAATTAAGTAGTTGTTGAAATGGAAATTCGACGTCGTAAATTATCATTCAAATTATTCCCGGAAATATCACCATGTGAATGTATTGCATGTGCAGTATTTGTACTAGCAAATAAATGATCAGATTCTGATTCAAATGTTTCTCGAAAGAATTCTTGATCACCAATTAGGGCATCAAATGTTTCATCCGGATATAGTGTAATCATAAGTATTGCTTCTGAGATAAATAATGGTATTCCAATCTTTATTGATAATATCAAAAATGAAATATCTTCTCCGGAATACCTAAATAATATGTTTGTAAAAAAAATGGTAATAATAATAATAGTGAATGAGCAATAATAGCTCAATATATTATAGATCAAATTTTTTAAGTTTAATTAACATATGTAAATTAATTTGGGAAATGTTTGAATTTGTATAGTTTTTTAGAATTAAAATGATGTGTTGAAATAAAACACTTTGTAGCAATTCCGATGAAAATTGCATTTACAACAATACACCCAGCAATGAATCGTGATAATTGATTGGTTATCATAACGGATCCGGAAAGCTACCACTTTTTAGAAGTCAATCATAAGAAACTATTTAATAAATTGAAATTCTCACTTTTATATTCGATTATGAATGTTTAATTTATTTGAATATTTGATAATATTTGGATAATATGAATTATTTATTTCAGGATGATTTGCCGCATGTTGAAACACGTGAATGGCGTTTACGTCCATTTAATTATGATAATACAGTGAATGCAATGTTAACATTATTTGTTGTTACAACAGGAGAAGGATGGCCAAGTATTCGGCAAAATTCGATGGATACTACCGAAGAAGATGAAGGACCATTACCATTTTATAGAGTCGAGGTAAAGTTATACTTATGGATGACGAGTTAAAGTCTATTAGAAATGTTTAGAATTAAAATCAGTTCTAAATTAAAAATTGATTTTCCATTTTGAATATCTTTAAAATATTTCGAATATTTGCTCAAAAAAAATTTTTTTTTCTGTGATTTATTTCAGTAGAAGTTTAAGGTCATCTAAGGAAAAAAGGAAATTATACAAAAGTTACAGAAAATGGAATAAATATAGCATTAAGCAGTAGCACTTAAATATTTAATTCTAAAAATTTTGATTTTCACTTCACATCATTCTATAATGCTTATTTAACTGATTTAATTGGATATGTTTGTATATTTATACATATTTTATTTAAAATGAATTTATTTATTAATTACTCATGAACTAAAAATGGACTCTTTTTCATAGATTTTCTTTATTTTCACTTGCCTTCGTTAATTTTGTTCATTTTTTCCTTACTTATTCAATTATTTGTATAGTTTTGCAGACTGAATTTAATTATTTTCATTCATTTCATGTTGTATAATAAAATAATTTTACAGATGGCACTATTTTATGTTATGTTTTTCATCGTATTTCCATTTTTCTTCGTAAATATCTTTGTTGCATTGATTATTATTACATTTCAAGAGCAAGGTGAAGCAGAACTTTCAGAAGGTGATCTAGATAAGAACCAGGTAAGTCAAATGTTTTGTTCTTTGATAAATTTGGTCCTCATAACTAACTAAATTTAAATGTAAAATTTCTAGGAAATTTTTTTTTTCTGGGACTTTAACTATAACAATATTTAGATCCAAATTATTTCCAACATTTTCTCGCAAAAAGTTATTCCATAACAATTATTTAATTAATACAAAATTAATTTTATAAAACATAGATGATTTATATTTACAAGTTTAGATGATTTTACATATATTACGGGTGTATATTAAGTTAAACTTTTAATATAGCAAAATTGGTTTTGTAGTTTACTATATATTATTAATATTCATGATAAATTTACAACAACAGCTATTAATTTAACTAACATTTATTCAAGTTAATCATAAAACTGTCAGAAATTAAATGAACAAATGACTAATTATTATAATTTGATTTTTTTTTTAAAAAAAGTTAAAAATATTTAGAAGCAATGTATTGATTTTGCGCTAAATGCTCGTCCACGATCATTATTTATGCCAGAAGATAAGAATTCGATGAAATATCGGATTTGGCGTCTTGTTACTTCAACTCCATTTGAATATTTCATTATGGCAATGATTTGTTGCAATACAATCATTTTAATGATGAAGGTTTTACTTCTCTCTTCGTTTTCACTCATTTTTACTTCTATATATATATATATCTTTCTCCCCTCTCTTCCTCGGAGTAAATAAGAAATTGTTGTTAAATTATTTCGAAATATTTATTTAAATGTTAAAAAAAAAGGTTTAGAAAATATTATTACAAAAAGAGAAAAAAATCATTCAACTAATAATTTATTGTAATTACGTAATTACTAGAATATTTCGTAACTATATAATTACTAACACATTTATTTTTAAAAAGTTCGTTTTTTTATAAGAATGCTTTCATTTATCAAAATATTTTATATAAAATATTATTATTTTCCTCCCTAATGTTTGCTACAGTATTTAATATATCTAATCGAATATTTCAAATATTTGAAATTATTTGTTAAAAAAAAAAACTTTTTTTTTGATTTTCATTTGACTTTGTTTTTGTTTTTTATATTTTCATTTATTATTATAGTTTCATGGAAATTCTGAATTTTACGAAAAAATTTTGCGTTTTTTTAATACGGCACTAACGGCAATATTTACAGTGGAATCAGTCTTGAAAATATTAGCGTTTGGTGTTCGAGTAAGTATGTTTAGCAACTTTTTTTCCTTAATCATTCTATTATTTTCAGAAAAAAAAATTTTTTTTTTTTGTTAGTAGAAGTTAAATAAACAACTTTTCTTTTTCATATTTTCAGAAAAGCAATATTTCCACTTTCTTTTTCTTTTTTTTAAAAAAAAAGAAAAATGAAAGGATTTCTTTGTGATGTTTATAATTTGCATGTTAAAACTCTATAATTACGTTAATTATTTTTAAAATTAGTTTCTATTATCCATAAAATTTTGAAAATATTGAAATAAATATATAAACATATTTTTCCTGTGATAATTTATTAACTTATTTTATTCATTTATTTTATCAAAAATTATTCATCACAACCGCTAATTACTTATCAGTTGTAATATGAAATTTTTTTTAATATTATTAACTTATTTCAAGAATTATTTCCGCGATGGTTGGAATCGTTTCGATTTTATCACTGTGGTTGGCTCTATCACCGATGCATTGGTCACTGAATTTGGTGGTCACTTTGTATCGCTCGGATTTTTGCGTCTTTTTCGTGCCGCTCGTCTAATTAGGCTTCTACAACAGGGATACACTATAAGAATATTGTTGTGGACATTTGTTCAATCTTTTAAAGTATGCTTACTTCGAGATTTTTCATCTTGCAAATTCATAAGACTTATTCAAATTTTTTAAGACTTTATTAGTAACTGTTAGGTTTTCTTAAAATTGCATAATTTCAATAATTTCAGGCCTTACCATATGTTTGCTTACTAATTGGAATGCTTTTTTTCATCTATGCTATTGTTGGGATGCAGGTATACCTCTATCTCATGCTATTATTTATTTGTTCACTTTGTTTTCAAAACGCTTAAATAATGAATTTCAAACCTATTATTTATTAATTTTTTACTTTACTAACATTAATCTTTTTTTTTTGGAACTAATTTCATGAATTTCTAACTTACTAATTTTATTTATTCCTTTACTTGTTTTACTACTATTAAAATTATAATTTTCTTTCGTTTAATTTGAAATATTTAAATAATGTTCAGTTTTGCTAAAACAACAACATGAAGTAATTTTAGCATTTTACAATATTATAATTAGCTTTGATATATTTTACATAAGGTATTTGGTAATATTTGGTTGGATGCAACTACCGAATATAACAGACATAATAATTTCCAATCATTCTTTAATTCAATCATTCTTCTTTTTCGGTATGCTTAGTGCTCGTTTTGTTGCTTAATCTTGTGTTTCAAAAATTTATTAATTCATTTGTTTATTTATGCTAATCTTTGCTTAATCAACTTCAAATCTATTTCAAATTTTAGCTTTTATACTACATTTACATTGACTTTGCATTTAGTTCTAAATCAGTTCGTTGTTTTTCTTGCCTTATCATTTAATTCTAAATTAATTATGAATTAGTTATTTCTTTTTTAGACTTCATCACTTTATTTTTAAAAGCTTACTTGGTATGTATTACTGAAAAAGAGAAAGAAAAAAGAGAATGGTAAAGAAAAATTGAATCTTTCGGAGTTTGTATAATAATTAAATTGATGAATTGAAGTGCTTTTCATCCAATTTTTCTATAATTTGAAAAAAAATTATTATCGATAGTATTACTGATAGACTATTTCATGTATTACAGGTGTTCCACAGGTGAAGCTTGGCAAGATATAATGATGGCATGTACGGCAGGGAAATATTGCGCAAAACCGAATTCATTTGAAATTAATTTAGCTAAAGGACCAACTTGTGGTACTCAAATGTCTTACGTATATTTCACAACATTCGTCTTTTTGTCATCATTTTTGGTACTATAATTCTTTGAATTTTTTTTTTTTGAGTTTACATGAAAGTTTACATACTTTTCTTTTTTTATTATGTTGAAATATTGGAATGCCACGAAATTATTTATTTTATGTTTCTTAATGATATTAACAATGGTACGTTGATACTCTAACAGTGTTATGTAAATGTGATATAGTGGTTGGTATTAAATAACGAATAGCTTTGATATCATTAATAAATGATTTCGTTTATCAGTTTAAAACAACAGTTAATTCATTTGACAATTAAATAACTTTACACTTAAGTGTTATTCAAAAAAAATTGATTATAATGATTGATATTACATAGCAAATAGTTTTGATATAAACAAATAGCAATAGCTTCCATTTATAATTCCTTGTTTTTCCCAATAATTTTTTCCTTTTCTTTCAAAATTTTAATTTGCATATTTTTAGATGTTAAATTTGTTTGTTGCTGTAATAATGGATAATTTTGATTATTTAACTCGTGATAGTTCAATTCTTGGACCTCATCATTTGGATGAATTTGTTCGAGTTTGGGCTGATTATGATCCAGCTGCAACGTTAGTTTTTTTTTTCTCAAGAATATCATGAGCATTGTAGGAAATAAACAAAATTTTCAAGTCTTGAGATGTATCATACCTTGGCTTAGAATTGTAGTGCCTAATAAATGGTTCTATATCAAAATTCATTTCACTAAAAACCTAAATTTTATGATAGCACAATCTATAAGTGTAATAAATTAATTGAGATATTAATCAGAGATAATATCGAAATTAATAGATTTATATTTATATTAACAAAAAAAATTTTTTTTTCCTTTTTTTGAGTAAGAAACGAAAAAAAAAAAAAAACAAAAATAATTTTTTAGCGGACGAATTCATTACACGGATATGTACGAAATGTTGCGTAACATTACGCCACCAGTTGGATTTGGCCGTAAGTGTCCATATCGTTTGGCCTACAAACATTTGATACGAATGAATATGCCAGTAGCAGATGATGGCACTGTGCATTTCACGACAACATTGTTTGCATTGATTCGGGAATCACTTAGTATTAAAATGAGACCTGGTATGTTATGTATAATTATATTATTAAAATTTAATTAAATCTTTCAAATTTATAATATTTTGAAATATATTATTAATTAGTTTAATAGATTACAACAATGTAACATATGTTAAGTAAAACTTTTGAAAAATTTTTAATGTTTTTACTAGAACATATTACATATTACATTTGAAAATGATATAGAAAATTATAAAATATGATAAGGATTGATCACTTTATCGTTCTTCTATCATAAATTTAAATTTTGTTTTTGCAAAAAAAAATTATAGATTTTATATCCTGTTGCAAATGAAGAAAAAACGTATGGAAAATTAGAAGAGATACAAAAATAATGAAAATTTAAAAACTTTTTTTTCAAATTAACTCAAAGAAATTTGCTGTTGCAGTGGAAGAAATGGATGAGGCAGACGAGGAGTTACGCCAAACTTTACGGAAAATATGGCCATTAAAAGCAAAAAAGAATATAATAGATTTGGTAGTACCACCAAATACAGGTTGTTATTGCTTTTAACATAATTAACAAATATATTAATCTAGGATATGAAACTTTACGCAAAAGCTAAACAAATATTTTATGTGGGTGCATTATTTGTGTCTTTTGTAATTTGATATTTCTCAAAAATTTTTATACCCTATTAAGTTAACTTGATATGATCGTTTTGAAGTGTGATGTTTTGCTTTTTCGAAGCAATATTAATACTACAGTTATTTAGAATGATAAAAGCTGATTAAATCGTCCAATTAAGTTAAAGTAATTAGGCTATAAAGGCTGATTAAACTAATTAAGTTGTAGTATAAAAACTGAGAGTTACCAGAACAAAATACAAAGATATCCACCAATCAAATCATGTTAAGAATTTTTTTGTTAAAGCAAGGAATAAGAAAATATGTTGCGTAAATTCTTCTGATAGTATTTTCTAATCGAAATTTGAAAAAATGTTTATATATCAATTTCTATGTAAGAGAAAATCTAAGTAAGAGAATTCGAAAATAATTAAAGGTTAATTTTGTTATTTATCGCTATTATGCTGGTCAAGTTACTATGATTTCAGAATTATGCTATCAAAAATTAACCGTTGGGAAACTTTACACAGGCTTACTAATCCTTGAAAATTACCGAGCCAAGAAATCAGGAGTTGAGGTAAAACTTTTTTCTTCTTAAATAATGTTTTAACTCTTATTTATGTGTGATAGTTGATGATTTATTATATTTTGCTTTCCTTTTCTTTCTTTCAACAAATAATACATATTTGTATTGTTTATTTCTATAATAATATTAATAAATTACAGATATTAATTATCGTATAAATTAAATATGTACTTGCAAACTGAATATAGCATATCAATTTTTGATTAATTTAATCAAAATTTATCAATGTATTAATATGGCAAATGTTCAGCTTAATAATACATAAAAAAATGAAATGACATTACTGTGATATATATTGGAAAAATCAAATTTTTAGAGAATCCAAAATTTTCCATTATTAAATGCTAATTGACTAATTTTTTTAGATATCAAAAAATTCAGCAAAAGAAGTTTTCTAAAAAATCCAGCAGTAGAAATTTTCGGAATTTTAAATTATCAATTAATATTTTAGTTTCCCGGAAAAACAAGTCTCGTCTAACATAATTAATAACTAAGTTTGCAAAAAAGAAACGAAATTTCAGTTGGCCAAACGTAAACGGCAAAGAGCCGCACTTCTGCTTATGACTCATCGTCATACATTATTTTTATTGGATGACGAAAAAGAGGTTTTCGTATTAAAACGGCAAAAAAAATCTGTTTTTTTTTTTTAAATTAAGGAAACCTTTGTATACCTTACATATTGCTCCATCATTTTATTTTTTTGATCCTACCGTTTTATTCTACCACATTCTTTTCCCTTTTCACTAAATTTTAGTTATTTCTTTCTAATCGCCTCTTTCAAAAAAAAAAGATATATAATATTGATATAAAAGAAAAATGAAGAATAATATTAAATAATTTAATAATTATTTACCCTATACAGCATGCTATTCCTCAAACCTTTCCGAAAATAAGTTTTTTTTTGATTTGTTTTGATTCAGTTGTGGATTTCTTTCTTAATTATTTGTTATTAAGTAAAAATCTTTTTCCTCGGTCGTCCTTTTTCAAAATAAAAGTGTTTAATATGAAAATAAAACAGAAATGATGAATAATTTTTTATTAATTAATAATCCTCCCTTCCTTCTTTTCTTCCTTCCCTGTTGTCTTTTGCGATAATATTATTTAATTCCAAAAGTTGTACGTTTCAAATTTCGTTTTAATAAACAGCGTATGTGGAAATCCTTTTTTCCTGTTTATGTTAATAAAATTTGAATTATGTGAAAATTTAAGAATTTTAGAGGCCTTATTCGTTGTTTTCTACATTGGTCGATACAATCAAAGCTGTGAAAACGGATAGTACTGAAAATTCACCGAATAGTCCAGTATCGCGTAAACGAAGTCTTATAATTTCGTAAATTGTTTTTCGATTTTTTTTTTTAAATTAAGTGCACAGATTGGTTCAAACTTTGTCTGTAAATTAATTTAATCGAAACTAGCTAATCACAGGATACCTCTAACTATAAAATTTTGTTTAATTTTCTCATTTTTTTCATAAAATTTAATTTTAATTATTGTTGTATACTTTTTCAATATGTACCGAAATTTTCGAAAATTCCTTTTTGCATTTTGAAAAAGATTTTTATGTTTAAGTATTATGGTTTTTTAGTGTTTAATAAATACTTACAATTCGATTGTCATTTTATTTGTTATTATTTCTCTTTTCTTTTTGTTTTTTACATCAAAATGTTTAAACAACAGAACAAAGCAATTACTACAAGTTTTAGTATTACGTTAATTAATTGAATCACTAATTATCAAATTTTTGAAATACGTCAATGTGGACATTAATAACTTTGTAGTAGACAAATTCAATACATATTACAAATAATTCTATTCAGCAAAATTGCTGTTATTTTTGTGATTAATAGACTTACATATGCTATATATATATATAATTTCATCAAATGAAAAAGTAACATTAAAAGACTTAATTGTTGAATTTAGGAAAATACGCTAATACAGTAGTAGCTAACACGATAGATAGTAGCTTGTACGATCTTACAAGCAACGGCGTGCGTACAGTATGAAAATATGATTACGGTATTGCGATAATGTATTAGTTGACGAAAAGGTGTGACGGTAGAAATTTTTGACGAAATGTGTTATTAAGTTCATATTTGACCAAACAAATAATAATTATTCTCTTATTTATTTCTTTCTATAATCTGTTAGATATTTCATTATTAGCTAATCTATTAGGTAATTATCTTATCATCTCTTAGCTGATTATAAAATTAATCGAAATGCCACTAACTGTTTCAGTGATAAACCAACTGTTGGTCGTCGTCTTTCGGGAATTATCTCAAAAATACGTAGCCGAGAAAGTAGCATAAACAACAATGATCCATCACAACAGGTAATTTATCAATTTAAATTGCTAATTGCGAAATGTTAATTCTTAATTCTAATTTTTATCATTTTCCAAATTAAAAAAATTACTGTTTTCCCCCATTTCCTACTCTTTATGAAATGTTGGTCTTCACAAATTTGTTTATTTGAATTTTTAGCTTTGTTGCGAAATTCATATCACTGCTCTTTACAGTATTCTTTCATGTTATTTAGATATTTTAAATATAAGGCATAACTGAGATATATGTTCGAAGTATTGTAATTTCTTCAAAAAAAAAAAACTAATTATTCGATTTAACTACTAAACAAAGGAAGAATTGAGAAATGACGAAAAAAAGACAAGGCATTAATTTGTAGCGTTATTCAAATGGTGGAATATTCTTGAGTGTCTATGATAAAAACAATGCCACTTATGATGAGGTAAACATATTAGTGTGAAGTGTATAAAAGCTTTAGTTATTATTTTATTTTTGAAATTTATTTGTCAGATATTGCTCTTAAGTTAATTTGCTATAATAAAAAGCTTTTAGTTTGCTTTTTTTGTTATTTTATGTTATTTTTGTTAGCAAATTTTAATTTAATTCTGAAATTAAGATTTATAAACTTATTCATTTTCTCAATGACTCGCATTTACCATATTTTTTCATCATTTTTTGCCCATTTATAATGTTTTTTCTTTTTTTTTTTTTTTTTTTTTGTTAAAAAGTGGTATATGATATGATGCAATATGATATTATAATATATGATATCACATGATATAACATTTCGTGTAACGAAACGCACATTCTGGAAATGCATGTTTTGCAATTTTACGTCCGATTTATATTTGTATCATTAAGCAGAAAATATGTATGATATGATATGATATTTGAGTAATCATTGCGTAATTAAATTGTTGAGTAATTAAATTAAGAATATTTTTTGAGGATAATGATAACGATATACTTATTATAACGGTATTATATGGTTACTTAGGATGCTAATCAACAAACTGTTTTATTTAATTCAACATGAGTGAACTTCTTGAATGATACAAGTTATTTTAACTTTATTAAGCCACCGAAATATTTTTCGTTTTTGCAGTAATACTGTCAGACCTTTATGATTACAATAAAATATTTGAACCAAATTATCTATCATTTACATTGTGTTAAATTATGTGCGTTTTTTTTTTTCATTTTTGGAAAGAAAAATAAATTTTGTTTTCGTTTTTTTCTTTTTTGGTTCAGTTCAAAATATCATCATTAAATGCTTTCTTATAAGTCAAATTTTATTGCAATTTGTAATTTATCAATGAGTCAATGGGCTGATTTGATTTTTTATAATTGAATTTTTGAAATGCTTTAGTACGCTGCTTTATATGCTCGTAGTGTTGCATGATAATATCTTCCTTTCTCCTTATCCTGATCCCATCCTTCTTTTTATTTCAATCATAAATTGACTTACTTCATTTGACTTATCAGATATTCGTCTAATTGGTCCATTTAAAATATTATTTTAAAAAAAAAGAAAGAAATGAATTTGTCAATAATTGGCGGTTTTTGCACGCATCCATCTATTCACAAATTACAACGTTTTAATATTTATTTTATTTTCTAATCATGACATTACGGAAAATTTTCAGATACAACAATTGATACCAGAGGAACGATCACATAAGGATTTGTCAAATTATCCACGTAAAACTCGTTCAAATTCGCCAGCTGATCATTTTTATCGTGGGTCTTTGAAAATGATAAAATAATAAAAGATATGAGCAAATTTTCGAATACTTTTTCAAATTTACAACTTTGTGTTACTTAAAAAACAACTGTAAAATGTCGTTAACAGCAAAAGATAGTGGAAATGGTTATTTGGTAATTTAATATTTCCATAAAATACTTTACTGTAAGCAAAATAGCACAACTTATTTATACTTTTTTTTTTTTAATTTGAAGTCCCTTATAGGACGAGGTCTTTCACATTCTCCAGAAAGTTCACCGTCACATTCCAACTATAGTCGACAAATGTCACGGAATTGTAATTCACCTACACGCTTGAAGTTAGACATCTTCGTCAACGTTTCTTTATCATATTTTTATTAATACATTTTCGCATAGGTTAAAATAGCCTAAAAGTTTTTCCAGCAATTTCATAAAGCTACGAGGTGAGGGATATCCAAGTCCACGTGTACCACCTCATCGATCAACATATGATGATAATGGTGATAACGATAATGACAACAAAAGTTTATCATTAGTTGATGGTTATTTGCCAAACCGGCTGCGACGATTATCACCAACGCGTCCAGCTCATGTGAATCAGCGGATTTATTCAGGTGAATTGATTAGTAATTTAATCTTTTTTAAAAAGGAAAAATCCTTCTATATACTATCGTTATAATGGCATTAAATATTATCACATGCTTAAATGTTATCTATGATCTCATTTTTCCTAGGTACACCATCACCTCAAATGCTTACGGATGATGATGAACCAATGCCAAGTGCAGTACGCCAACGAAGACTTCCATTAATTGGTGCATTACCTCCGTCAGCGCCATTACGTTCACCTGAACATTACATAAGTCCGTATCATACGGCACGAAGTGATTTCAACACAGCTAGCGGTGCTCCACCGTCTGTTTACTATACGCCTGCTGATGATATACCATCACCATCTCCCAGTTCTGCATATAATTTCCCATTTTATGGACAAAGTATTTCATCTTTTATTCAAAAAAACAAAATTTTTATATTCAATAAATTGTAAGACAAAAAAAAAAAAATGTCGAACTAATTTCAAACTTAAAAGTGCATATTGTTACTAACAAACAATTTTTAATATAAATATCAATTGCATTAGACGAATTTTTTTAATTAAACAATCAATAAAATATTCTTTTTAGGTGGTAGCTACGGACACCATTTATCAACTGGATATGGTTGGAGAACATCATCTGTTACCGTTGGTTACCATGGTAATAATATTAGCCCGTATAGCCGAACACCTAATAGTGCAGGTAATAGTGCACCAACGGTAATTTATGCCGGTAATCGATTACGACCAATGATACGAGTGATACGAGCTCAGCCAGGTAATGTACCACTCAGCGATTCTGATAACGATGAACCAAAATGGGCTGTTGTTTAATCCTAAACGCTTTAAATATTTTGTTTTCTGTTGATATTGTCATAAAAAAAATATTTAAAAAGATTAAATAATGGAAAAGGAAAAATATTTTTCATTTTAATCACTGCTAGTAACAGTAAACAATATTAATTAATCATCATAATAAAACTATTTCTTCTTGCTTACTCATTGTTACTGATTAGAAAGATAAAAAAAAAGAAAAATTAGTTCGACTAATTGTCTGATCTTTTTCAGTATCAATCCCATTCAATTATTGTATCCTCAAATATTAATATTTATATTGAATTGTAATACTGGCCAGCTAGTTGTAAATATATTTGCTTATTTTTTAAATAACGAATCATTTATTAGAAAATTTGTTTAACTTTTTGATGAAACATTTACTCTACTAAATAAACCTAAGTAAACCACATAGAGTTTCATTGACTTCTTGCGTATTTTTTATAAATGAATAATTTAGAAGAGATAAGAAACTTTTAGTTTTGCTATCATATATATCTTTTTATTTTAATTTTAACAAAAGAAAAGAAAATTTTATTTATGCAAATTGATCATTTATTTTGCATATTTTATGTATCTTTTATGCTTTTATAACGGATTATATGACGAATGGAAATTCACTGCCAATCACTGTTCCTTTTTTTTCCTTGTCGTCAAATCATCGAAGCTCATAAAAGTTGAAAAATTACAGCTTAATTTCTGGGGAATTTCTGCAATAACTTGACTGTCATGATAGAAAGAAAGGAATATTTCTATTCTTCGCTTTCCTTCTCTTCTTTTTTTCCAGAGACAAATAAGAAATTATTTTAAATTTATAATTTACTATATGAAATATTAAGCAATTTATGGGCTTTTTTTTTCTCTCTCTCTCTCTCTATATATATATATATATGATTGCTAAAAGATTTGACCCATTAAACATTGCTACTACAACTTATTTTATATTAAAAGGGAATGAATAAATAAGTACAATTAAAAAGAATATCGAAAATTTTTTGTAGTTAGAATGATTTAATCATATATCTTATATATTTGATTTTATGAAATAAAAAAAGAAAAAAAGCAAATTTAAGCAAAATATGGGTCAAATCAAAATAATTATAGCAAACTTTGTAACATAAAAATACCTTTGCCATTTTTGCCAATTTAATATATTTTGCCTAATTTCTCATTCTAATTTTGCATATAATTTGTGTCCATTTGCAAAACGAACACGTAAAAAAAATGGATCAAATTCAGTGATTGTTATTATTTTGTTGCTCAAACATATGCATCATTTTTTTCTATCATCAAATATTTTGCTTTAGATTAAAATTATATTTCATTTTTGTTACAATTATTTCATGAATTGTATAGCTGAATGGATTTTATAGCTTTTTTAGTGATATGAAAAAAAAAAAAGAAAAATTTGTCGAGCAGTTACGAATCGAAAGAGGCCTTTGTAAGATTGTATCGGTTATCGGATCTTTTCAGATGCAAGGATTAGGACATGCCTTATCAGTTCGGGAAATACGAGAATATCCAGAAATCGCCAAGCTCAACTCTAGTTGCTTCGCACAGTAAAAGACTGAGCGTTCCGTAATCATTAGCGCTTTTTAAATGAACTTCTGGTATTTTTCAAATAAAAGAATAAAACTCAGAAGCTCTGAATCATATTTACACCCTCCTTTTACGACTAATAGTCTTTGAAGATTCTAAGAATATTGAAATGTCACTTCAAATATATTGTTTAAACAATTTTTAGTCAAACTATTTTAACTGAAAATTCAGAATTCATTCTGCAATAATTTAAACAATGAAAATAGCATCCCTCTCCAATCTGAACAAGAAAATAAATAAAGAGCAATTAATGAGATCGTTTATGCCTTAGGATATCAAAAGTTGTACTAAAAGAAAGAGTCTTCTGACAAACATCACAAAAATATTCAATGCTTGGTTTCTTTTCGGCAGTTTTGTTGATTGAGAGCTCATCTTCTAGCTGAAAAGTACTAGGTCACAGTTGAACAGGTAGTACCATATACTCAAAAACTAAGGATCTCGAAATTTTTACTGCAAAAATTTACTTCGAGAAGCTCTCTGAATCACCGAAATAGCACTCCGAAGAAGACTAAGTGGGAATAGTTTAAAGATTGTTACCAAGAGCTTCTTTGATGAATTTTATTTCATTATATCTGATATTACTAAGATTAGCAGGAAAGAGGGAGACTGGGAATAATTGAACAAAACGTTATGATACAAATCAAGTATTGCGAAATGAATAAAAAAATGCTATTCCTTTGAAGTAAAACAGTATGAATGACAAAAATGACCCTTGAATCGCTTTGAGCTTCATAAAGTCCTATTGATGTTAGTATTTCTTCGTCATCGTCCTCGCACAACTTTTCGCCCGACGGAAGTATAAAACCGAGTTCTTTAGTATCATCCGGACACGCACGACGAGTAAGACTAGAACTTATGAAAGATTAATAATTAGTGGGAAAATGTTATTCCTTTTAATAAGGTCAAGTTTGACTTTGTCTTGCATATGTGAAATATTGGAGGATCTAAGTCTTTTGTGAACTTACATGTATTCTACGTCTGATCGCAAGAATGAAACAACACTTTTAACGAGCGCATGATTATTGGAAAGATCTCCTTCAAGACTTTTTTTGAGCGCTCTGGCAAGTTGTCGACGAGTTGCAGATGCTTGCTCCACAACAGAAAAAAACTCCATGATCCGTGGAAATTTATAGCTAATGAAATCGTCACAAATAATTGAATAATCATCTTCCGAACATATCACCTGAAAAAAAAGCCAATAGTTCTTTAAATTTAAATGAAGACGCCTATGTGAAAAGACATTCTCTCAATGGACATACCGATTTCGATAGTAGCAGTAAAGCTAGCGCTGGTACACGTAAACTATTACATATATACGGCTTTGTAGTTTCTATAAATGATGCAAACGAGATTAGCTGGTGATAATTCGATAAACCCTGTAATAAAAACAGCATTAGAAGTTAAGTAATGTCAAGGATAATTTAATAGCACAATTAGTCTAACTGCTTCGGTTGAAAAAAGAAAGGCATCCAGAGAGTAGCGCAAAGAAAGTACAGAAGAACAGATATGCTAGTCACTTCATAGAATAAAATTAAACTCTTCTAAATAAAAAAAAAAAAAAAAAATGAAATACAAAATTACTTTGTCACTGCGATCATAATCCAAAGACTCTGGCAAAAGTGCCAAACAACTATTTGGATGTAAGGCAGCAAATGGTTTTCTTCGCGTATGAGCAAAAAGTTCATTTCCGACCTGAAAATAAGCTCCAAACAAGATCGAATTGCATGTGAACATATCAGAAAGAAAATGGAGAAAGATGAAAGGTAGAAAGATGCAGTAAAATAACGGTATATCTAAACTTTGACCATTTGAGATAAAAAATTTTGACCAGTTCTAGCTTATCTGAATTTAACACTAAAACAAAGGTATTTCACCTTGTACGAATTGTACTGATCCAGTATGGCATATTGCGGATGGACACCAGCCGTGACAACAAATTTCAAAATTGAAAAAGTGGCATCGTTTAGGCGGTGGGACTTCAAAATATTTCGAATACCACTTTCACGATTTTCCATGTAGAATTCAAGAGCTTGGACACTATCCATGAGTGAAAGATTACCGAAAATTATTGTACTTAAGTTATATTTAGCTTAAAAACCTGCTACTGCAATCAAGAAAACAAATTGGTTTGAGGAGCTTGACAATTAAAATTACCTGTCTTATTCAGAAATTACTTTTTTTTTTTTTTCAAGTGTTCCTTCAGCGCATAGTCAAAGCAACTCTACAAAAACTGAATAACCTTATAATTCATGACTTTTAAAAAGAAAAAACTTTTTAACCTTCAGAATCCATTAATGTGTCGAAATGAGCTTCAGGCTTCAATACTTTTCGTTTCTTCACTTCATAACTGAAAATTAAAAATGTATGGATTCTTTTTTTTATTTTTGAAGTTTTTGGAAGCATGAAGGAGAATGATGGTTACTTTATGAATAATTCTATTATTATTTTTTTTTTCTATTTTTATTTTTAATAAATGAACCGAGCATCTTTTTTTAGTTCATTGAGACGTTTTCTATCACCGGCATTAATACGGCGCTCACGACTATCCATATCATTTTCTGCCTCCAAAATACCACTGTGTTCCAATAGTTCTTTAAATTGGCGTCTTAGCTGCCTATAATTGTACCAGTCGCCTATATAGTTTATTTCATTTTCAAATATACCTTTAAAAAATCCACATGAAGAAAAATCAACTAAAAAAAATCATTATACAAGTTATCAAACCGCTTCACTTTATCTCTATAATGATTAATTATAAATTTCTCGAAAATGAAGAAATTACAGGTATAAATAAATTCATTGCTACCATAAATGATTAAGAAAGAATGCTTACTGGTCAAAATTATCTAATTTTAAACTACCTGCCTAATTTCATACATGCGTTGAATATCGATTCCCTTTTCTCGACCCCATCGACGTATATCATCACGTTCAGCTTGCACTTCGACAAATTCTCTGAAAAGTCCAACAATTAATTCAGAGGATTTCCATGCACTGTTATTAAAATATTTCAAAAATATCTGTATTAATTCATAGCATAAAGTATCGCGTACGTTATCCGTGAAAAAATTCAAAAAATTCAAGTGAAACTATTTCATAATTGCTTTCTATTCAAGAAATATCATAGTTGTCGAAGAAATATACCAGGAATAAAACAAAAATAAAAGTGATACAGATGCACCAGATTCAATTCATATTTCTGACCTAATTTGCATCTAAATGTTGTGGGTATTATCTCGATCTCCATAATTACTAGTGTAAATGTTCCGAGCAATGAAAACTATCGTCGAATCATATAAATATATCACAATATCGATTTCTTAAAGCTCACCGATACGCATTAATTAATGCAAACGGATCACCGTTATCAGACATAATATTTTTCCTTCTATCCAATACGT